ATATATATATATATATATATATATATATATATATATATATATATATATATATATATATATATGATTGCTAATGAGATAAGCATGTAATAAGTTAATAATGTTAAGTATGTCTCCAAATAAAAAGATCAGATATCTGACACACAATCAGCAAACTTTTAACTTACCTTTTGCAATTTAAACGCGATTTTAATCTTAAGTTCTTGCGATAATATCCGCTTGCGTTCCGGATATCATCATCAGCCACTCGGCCATATCGAACTCGGCTTAATAACGATTGTAAGAATTGCACTACTTTGATCATACGATTTATCTCAGAATTATCCTTGCAAGTTGATTGTAAAGCTAAGACGTTGTCATCTAACGATTCCAGCTCGTTCTCAATGCTAAAATCGAGGGAAGTGTTGATTAAAGAATTATTATTAGATTTTTTCATTTAAAATAATTCTCCCATCTGAAGTCGCTAATCACATGCGTCATGTTTCGCCGTATAAACTTATGAAACACGAATAAGGAAGAAGTCCAGGCATCGTGCTTAAGCTCGTCGCACTTACCCTTACTTGGATAATACGATTCTTTATGATTGTCGGAGATTTTATCGGACGCTCAATCTACATACATGTGTACAGCGTACCCTTCAATATAAATGGGTAAATGTTATTCGCGCAAATCTCTTCGTATTGATAGGTTAATCAATTCATATAAAAAAACCTATAAATTAAATACAAAATAACGGTATTATCTTTAAGATGGACAGTTACGTACATCATAGGAAATTATTAAAGATTATTAGCTTACATTGTCCAGAATTTTTACTGACATCCACGTATGATGCGTGCAACTTGATAATGCTATTGGGAAGTAACAATGATTGAGTCAGCTTTTGGCATATTTACTCTCTTGTAGTGAGGCATATCCGTTAGCTCGATTTTGCTCCAACAATTTGTTCCTATAATAATACTCTTCTACTATCGCCCGCATAAAATATAACAATAATAAAATTCATGCATCAAGATATCTCGAGAAAGAAAAAACTCAAAAGATTCCTATATCAAAGAAGTATTCGTTCAAAAACTCTTATGTCATGATTAAATATACACGAAAGAAGTATACTGAGTAAAAGTAAAAATTTAAAAATAATAACTGAATTACAAGTCATCCAAATTGGGTAAAATAATAAAATAATAAAAGAGGCGCAAAGTAAGAATAATCTTTATTATGTACTATTCTATATATACATATATATATATATATATATATATATATATATATATATATATATATATATATATATATACAAAAAAAGAAGCAACAATAACAAAACAAGAATTACAACGTAATTATGCCTTCATAAATTTGCCTTCAAAACCAAAAATATTAAACGTGCTATTCACTCGCTATCCAAGCGCAGCAATGTAACAAACATAAGTTTAAATTTACGTCGGATGTAATAAATCTAAAATAATCAACGTCTACGTTTTTAAGACACACGTGCGAAGATACGCACCTGCTTCCTCTGGTTTCTAGCTTAAATCACAGTTTATAGTTTATAGTTCTTGACTTATCGTTCGCGCGAAGGCACATTGCTTGCTCGCAAATTGTACTTAGCGAATAATACAATAGATGGACTCACAGAACGTTTATGTAAATTAATCCCTTATTTCTCACAGCCTGATTACGACAACACGATTCTCCTTATTCATCACAATAACCTGTTTTTAGAACACGGTATCGTGAATAGAATCAACTGAAAAAAGAAAAGAAAATAAAAATGCGATGAATTTGGTGCAAATGCTGCCACGTGTGATAATCGCAACAATAAAGAAAAATTAACTCTCTTCACAAGACAGAAGCATGATTGGGTAGCGATCGTGCAAAAAAAGGAAGAAAAAACAATGTTGAACAAAAGAAAAATACTAACCTATATTCTTTCATTCCTTTACTTTTCCGTTTATCTTAAAATTCCTACGATTTACGTCATTCAACGATAATGGATTATATGTATTTTATGAGAATCTGTATAAATGCATATAACGAAAACTCAACATAAAACAATGCAAAAATATGTAGTGCAGAACTTTACTACATTTTTGTGATACATAAAAGATTATATCAACCCAGGCAACATCATGAATGTCTAAAATACATCGTAAAATACATCGTAAAGTATCTCAAAAACAAAAGAAAAGATCGACAAAAGATGTCTTTTCGACACTCCTGTTGACTGGGAAGTGTATGAAATGTATCAAAATAATATAAATATCTGTAATAACTACCGATAAAATATGCAATATAGTGTAATGTGGTAAAATTAAATAAAATGTCTACATACCTGGATGATTACCGATGATAACATTAAATTTTTCACGACAGGCTAACGTTTTCAACAGCATTAAGGCTTTACCATCGTATAGGTGTAAATCCACTCTCAATGCTTGTTTTAAATAATGTATTGCGCCCGTGTGATTTCCTTTTACATTCAATAATATACCAAACAAAAAATTAGTCATTGGCTGAAATATGTTATTAGAAAATGACTCTTTCTATCGGTATGTAGCAATAAATAAAGCAGTTTTTTCTTGCGATATAGCAGAAATATTCATGTAACAGAAATCTGCTGCGGTACAAAGTCCAATCATATATTTCATACATACCTCTACAGCATTGATACGCATGGCTTCCTTCGTAATCCGCAAAGCGTCATCAATCAAGCCCATTTTGTGATGTATCGAAGCTATACTAACTAAAGGAACATCTCTAAATTCTTCAGGAACTTCATCCAATGCCAATTGAAGGCAATCTAAAGCTAAACGAGGCTTCCCTGTTGTCCTCCAATGCAAAGATGCGAGCATAGATAACACCCAAGGAGCTATTTTCTGTTTTGATTCACACATACCATCAATATTTCTCAAATCAAAATATAACAGCTATTCAAAAATAGAAAAAGAAATCGTACCGCCTCGATTGCCGTCAAGATCCTCTGTCCGATTTCCGCGGATTCCGCAGTTTGCACCAGACTATGCAAGAATGGCTTTAGAAAAATATCCGATGAATGTTGTCGTGTCGTCGCATCCAGCAATATATGTGTGATGTACTTTTCGTTAAATGACTCAGGCACCTGACATAACGGTGGATGCCACGGCAATGGGTGCTTCTTCCCCAATTCTATATCAATCAATTCGTTTACGAGTGAATGTATCCTAATGACACACAAAAAAATCCATTGCATTAGACAATACATAACAGAACACATATACATAGAAATTGTACACTCAGTTTCAATACTATTGGAACACTTTCCTCAGTGCAATCCGGAATGCAATCCATGATGCCCAATGAGAGAATTTCTGTTCTGGAAACTATTCCAAAACAAGTTCTTAAACATCAATATTCCGAACTCCATCGAGAAAAATACTCGAAACTTATTGAAACCGTGTGTACGAACGGTTAAATCTAATTAATACTTACGCATAGCCTTTGTTTTCTGGAGACAAATATATTGGCAAATATTGTTTTCCATCCCCGAACATCAACATAGAACCATCGCAATCGGATATTTTCGGCCAGTAATCGGCCTCAAAATCTTCGTTTCCCTTCTTAATTTCTATATTATAGTACTTCGGGTTCTTGGTCGGTACCGCAAATGCATGAATATCTTTCACTTTCAGATCCATCAACGTGTCTATAAAATAAACAGAGTTTAAGTAAGTTTCCTCAATCGTAATGTACAAAGATAAGTATAACTTAGACGTAGAGTTGGGAAGTAAAATATTAGTTGTAACGCCGTTACAGTTACAAGTTCTGTCGTGAGACAGAAGATTATATTGACCCAGACAATACAAATGTATTAAATACGTAAAAATGTTTTGTAAAAAAATAAATTATAACGTTTTGCCAGTTTTCTTAAGTAACATTATCGTTATTTAAGTAATTCGAGTAGCGAATCATTTTTCAAAATTAATCATAATAATGGTAACGAGTTACTACTTCAATGAATAATAAGTAACAGTAACGATATCTTTTTCAGTAAGTAACAAGTAACACGGTAACAAGCTTTTCTTCCAAATATAGACCTATTTTAGCGTATAGTCTGCTTAGTGATTTGGACAAGTACGCAAAAATGCGTTCTTATACAAGAATTTTATCGATATATGAAAGAAGTCATTTGATGCCATGAAAACTATGATAATATTGCGGCGATGCTCTGATGCTGTGAAAATTTCTGTTTATTTTGGTGGGAAGAGAACGCATATATATACGCTTATTTTAGCGAAAAGAGAACACGATTAATCTGGAATTATTGTAATAATAACAAATATTTTGATTAAAATTATAGCTTAATAAATAGATATATCTTAAAACAAGCATATTTTAAGCACGTGATGTTGCAATAATATCACAAAATAGACATTAAACCATGCTATATTTGTATACTATTTTCAAATACCTTGTGTAGCATGATTGCGTTCTTTCGATTGCTGCAGATTTTTTAATGCATGATTAGGTAGATGCGCATGCTGCAACTTATTCTCGGCTACCTTCTTTCTATCTTCCAGATTCATCGAGGATAGCATGATGTTATTATCAAGATGTTGTTTAGTCGATTTTTCGATTGGATTTATAGTGAACGAATGTGGATTCTGTTCGGGCCCGAAGGCACGCTTCATCTCTTTCGTGGTAGACTTAATATCCTGTTCCCAGAGTGAGTGTTTCCGCCCCTCTTCCTTCGAGTCGTGATACGTGTATATTTCCGATAGCATATCTCGTAAATGCCTATGATAAACATAACGATAAATATTACCGTATTTATTAATACGTTTTCCTGAATCACGAGTCGCCAAACGTAGTATCACTTACTGATCAAATGAAAGCAGTGACGTTTCCAGCAAACGATGGCAAAGTATAGCGGATTTCATCTGCTTGGCCTCCGTCGTCTCTGGTGCCAATTTCAAGCAATTATCATAGCACGCCACGGCCCGTTTGAAGTCGCCGAGAGACGTGTACACGTAGCCCAACGCTAAATGATAGTAACTCTCCAATGGATTGTAGCTTATTGCCGCATGTAAAACGATGGCGGCTTCGCCAAAATATCTCGCAGCGTGAAAAATGCCGGCGGTATTCAGAAGTGGAATATCACGATAATGTCTGGATCATACAAAATGCTTTCGTTAAAAGATCGATAAACTACAAAACGACGTTTCCATTCGTCACTTTCCTCTAAGATCTATATTTCTCTTAAACTTAGATTTCAACTTAAATTTTGTTTAAACAAAACGCATTGTTAGAATAGAGTTTAAACTTAAATCCAAGTTTAAACTGCTATTGAAAAACTGGTCCTGACTGCTACATGCGAGTTGTCTCCTGTAGCAGATATGAGAAAAAAAATTCTCTGTTCCATGCAAGGATAACTCAGATAACAGAGGTTTTCTTTTACGAGAATAAATTTTTGTTGCGAGTTTTACTAAATAATAAATATAAATTAATTAGCATATTAAATTAAGACACACATATGCTGACTTTAAAATTAGGTATACAAAATACTCTAATGTCATTATGGCGCTTAACAGGTTAACATATGCAGGTGAAAATGTGTGATGTTTCATCTCACAATGTGATTATCATATTATAACTCCAACTTAACACATTGTCGACGGATAACGCATAAATGCGTCCCGTAACTTACTTACTCCGTCGTCAATATGTTAATATTTTTTTAGAGATCATTACGTGATCCGTATGACATGAACGCAAGATATAGATAAATAATATACAAAGATGTGTGCACTTGATTTGATTTTGATTACACAAGCCCACAATTTAAAAAAAGTTGTCTGTGCTGGAGGTCTGACTAGGTGTACTATATATATTTTGGGCTACTGAATCTAAATCCGGTGTCAGATTTGCTCCATCATCCTTGAGTTTCCCGGAAAATCGAGGAAATCGTGAAAAGGAGCAGATCCAGGTTTTTATGGAGACATGTATTCAAGGAAAATTCTAGAGTGACGAATAACCCCACAACCAACGTTGAAAATACATTATGTACTTCAACATTTGATGACTAGAACAACCCAATAACCCAATAACCCATATATCATCATACATATTCGGTTTTAGTTCACTCATCAATCCTTTAACATTGCATAGATTAGAAAATCTAATCTGTACATGCCCTCTCATGGTACACATTCATGTTATTGTCCACGAGATGGAATCTTTTTTCTATTCAAAATATCAATTCTACAATATATGATCGTCGATCAGATAAATCCTGCTGCTTCAGAGGATGTTGGAGACAATGACAACTGTCCCGTAAGGAGATGTATAGAATGATTCGTTTTCCATGTTGAAGTACATAATGTATTTTCAACGTTGATTGTGGGGTTATGGGGTTATTCGTCACTCTAGAATTTTTCTTGAATACATGTCTCCGTAAAAATCTGGATATCTACTCCTTTTCACGATTTCCTCAATTTTCCGGGAAACTCAAGGGTGATGGAGCAAATCTGACACCGAATTTGGATTCAGCAGCCCAAAATACGTATAGTATACTTAGTCAGATTCCAAGCACAGACAACTTTTTTTAAACTGTGGACCTGTGTTATTATTGAAGATCACATGTGACCTACAAGTAATGTAGAAATGTCTAATCAAATTGTCGTCGAAATTTAGAAACATTTGCTTAGCAACGGATTAACGAATCTCCATTATTATAACTGAGAGAAAACATAAAAGTCATTGAATATAACATTTTATTTTAAGCTTATATAATAAGAATATTATAAGAGCATTATAATTCATTGGATTAAGAACTCTATTTTTCGTTTTGAAATCGAGAATGTATTGATCCAGAAGAATTTGAAAATCTTGCCTAACAACAAGATAAGTTAGCACATAAGACAGCAATTGTTATAAAAGCCCGTTACCATCGAAGGCAACAAATGATTTTCAGTAGTCTACCACTAGTCAATCATTCGACAGTTAATCTTTCGCTAATCAGTCGCTAGAAAACTTAATATTTGCATATTTATAGTAAACAAATAATTTTTGTTTTAATATATGAAAATATTTAATATATTTTTTTAATCAATTTTATAATCATTTAAATAATTTTAACACATTCACTTTTATATTCAGAACGCTAATCCAGAAAATATATTTTTATGTAAATCCTATATATAATTATACTTTAGTTATGATATAAACAGAAAAACATGATTTTCTGGAAACAAATGTTCCAATCATATTTGTGAAGCTTCATTTGCAATATTACATATTTAATACATATATATATTGGTTTTTTTTGCATAATGCTATTAGATACTTTTTCAATATCATGGTACAAACGTCTAAGCGTTATATATGTGCACATCTGTATGTATTTTTGGAAGCATGTTACGTCAATATATGAACGCGTGTTGAACATCATATAAAATCATTTTACTATTGGAACACCTTTCAGATTTCTTACATTACCTTGGAGCATGTACGATTGCTCTACGACTGCATTCTAAGGCGTTATAAGCGTTCCCTTTGATCCGCCAATAAAGTGACGCCAGATTCAAGTATATCCAAGATGTCTTGTTGCGAGACAGACTGTAAGCGAGCTGATGGCCAAATTGATTGAGATCAATATTCAGTGGCAGGTACTTCATCAAACTAAGTTCTTCATGCTGAGTAAGATTCTTTCGATTCTGCATCACCTGGATAAAATAAGTAGAACTTGCAAGTGTGCATCTTTACTTTTATTCTCATCATATTACATTCATATATTCAGAATGTCTGAAAATTTCAGACACAATCATAATGTGTATGCAAAATAGTAAAACTGAAAATATGAAAGTGAAACAAAATAGTGAAACAGAAAAGTCATGTACCATTTTGCAAATTTCACAACAGTTATTAACTCTATAGATATGTCTAATGAAAGATAGCTTCCAGTTTGCAAGAAAGATGTCTTATTTTTTAGGATTCTAGCAATAATGAATATCAACTGATAAAGTGAAGTATTTTTTTTTCAACATATGACTTTGTGTAATAGCTGATATTCATAGTTGCTAGGGGATCTTAAGAAATAAGAAGTTTTCTGTTTCACTTTTGCCCTAAAAGAGATAACACATACTCACCTTAAGGTGGTCAAATGTATGTATGCTAAAATCTAATGGAAATGTCTTTTGACAGTTTGGTTCTAATTGTTTATTATTGGCCCCTTTATTGTATAATATATAATCCTTCTTGCTGCAACAAAATTTGAAATCAATGTTATACAATTGCTTAACATTTCACTAAATCTATATAAATATTTTATATAATATATTGTGGTATAATCTAGACTTATTATATTATCTTAATTAATCTTTATGATATAATTTTACATACAGAAGCACTTACCTTATTCCATTTCTATGTTTAAAATCAGTCATTATGCTAGTATGTACATCAATATCACCCAATGACTTATCTAATGAGAAACAATTCAGATTTGAGTTTTCTATATCAGATATATCTAAGTCTGCAAACTGATTGTTAATGGATGTCTCTTTCCTTGGAATTCTCTTGTTTATGGCACTAGCTGTTTCCCAGCGTTTTTCCTGATCCAAAAATGACAAGAGATCATCGGGTCGACGCATATCAATGACACTGTCATGCTGGAATATGAACATTAATAATAGAATCATAATAGATATAATAATATGAAATATATACAATTATATAATATAATAAGGATAAAAATGCAACAGAATACAATAAAAATAAAAATAAATTATAATAATACTATAATAACTATAATAATAATATCGATGAATCATAAAAGATGATTGTTTTTAAAATACTAATGTACATGTCTATTAATGAACACATATATAAATATAGTGATATATATATCAAAGGCACTATCCATGCTAAAACAAATAAAAAATAAAAGTACAAAAAGATATGAAAGAATATAATAAATTAAACATAGAAAGAATCAAAATAAAGATTAACTGCAATTATACAACTCGTTGAATTATTCAGAGATAACATATCAGAGATAACTTTATTTGTAGCCATAGAATACTAATATACATAAAATTGACATGCTTTTATAACATTAGCATAATTTGTAGTGTGATTTGTCCTTCTTAAAGATACAAATAGAAAAACATCGAGTTTCTAAAAATTGTCAAAACTGTAGATATATCTGTAATAATTTATATCTTCACGTGCCACTGTTGATATCTATCGACAGAGGATTCTAATATTTTGAGGTTAAAATATAGGATAATCCGAGAAAAAAGAATACCTGCGGCTGAATTTTTCCATTTTCAGTAACGATCCAGTGTTTAATTGCCGAGATTTCGAGTATTAGAGCAAATATCGCGACGATTCTATGAGATATGCGGTTTCGTAGCATTTTTCACGATATAACCCTATACGCGATAGACTTCACCGATTTTGCGTCTCCTCTGAGGGAAACGTGACAGCATAGAGCATGGCTGCGAAAACACGAGCGTTTTTTTACTCAGATGTGTCGCATGAGGTTCGCAGGAAACGCGCGAAAACGCTTATTGCATCATTTATTTCTCTCCGGTGTGTTCTGAACGACTCAAGACACGATACGACGCGACTTCGCTATAACCTTAGAGTAAAAAAGAAAGAACGAGAACGTAAAAGAGGAAAAGAGAGAGAGAGCGATCATTTATCATAAGTCATCAGCCACGAAATTGACTGTTATAATAAAATTTCATTTTGCCTAATTGTATATATAGGACGGAAAACTAGTCTAACATACTTACAGTACGTACCTTACAGTACGTAATAGTATACCAATACATATCGAAAGGTTAGTCTCTCTCTCCCCCACCCCATCTCTCTCTCTCTCTCATAAAATAAATCTTGTAAAAATGAATACAGCCGTCACAAAACTATTTCTTAATAAAAATATTTCTTCAAATGACTTTATTGAACGTGTATTGAGTGAGTATTTAAAATAGCAAATATTACTTTTAATATCTAGACAATCTTTGTATATATTTATAATTATATATATTTTTAATTATTTATTCATATATCTGGCTTAAGTTACAGAATTATTTGTTTGATGAAATTACTCAAAATGTCATTGAAACGTTTTTGTGCCGTTCATCTGGATTCATTTATTACAGTGTCAAGAAACATTATTGACTACTTTCCAAAATGAATAAAACGAACTTCAAAGTTGTGTGGTGAACAAATTGCCCTAATTCTTTCAGTAAAATTTTTGTTTTTCATAAAGCTTAAAATTTAGTTCACAAGCGATTACAAAATTGACCTAATATGTTATTCGTGTAATTCGATCATATTTGTATAATTTACTTAATCTTTCAAAGGTAAAATTATTCGTATTGAGCAGTTAGGTCAATCTTTTGATTGAAAGGATATCTATATCTATATTAATTATGTTTTAGTTTCGTTAATTTTTTAAGTTCGTATTAATAATCGTTAATTGAAACCCGTTTTACGTAATATATCTAAATATGAATTTATATAGAGTTAACTCTGAGTGTTTTATTTTTATCATATAGAGTGTCTGACGCAAAATATGACAATGTTTGTGTGTAGATATAGATTAAGTCAAACTGAACATAAAATTTCTCCATCATTTTACCAAAAGTAAAAATTTTGAGTTCTTTGTTAAATAAGATTAACAATTATAATGAAAAATGACGATTAATGGATGGTCGCGCGCGATAGTTAATCTTCTTTAATTAATAATTAAAAGATTTATGTAAATATTTTGCAAAATGGTAAAGGATTCTTTTGTTTAGTTTGACCTAATCTACTTTTACACGAGCATTGTCGCCTCTTTAAAAAATCGGTTTTCCTGAATGTTCTCGGTGTATATGCCCCCCTAAGATAAGTTTCAAGTAAATGACTTGAGCTTCGTTTAAAGGTTTTACTTAGAATTTATCTTTATGTCAATGGTAGTAAAAACTATACGCAAATCAACTAAAAGTAAAAAAGTTTTTGGGAGATCAACACAGTCACTTATACAGAGTGTCCATGGAGTATCCAAAGTAATTCACAGAAGTACCTTGATATACTGATAGATTAGATCAAACTGAACAAACAATTCTTCTACCATTTTACTAACGATCACGCAAAATTTTGAGTTATTAATCAAAGAAGATTCATGATCACATGCCATATGGTAGATGAATTGTGATAACAACGTTTACCACTGTATGCTTGTATATTAGGTAAAATTGAACAAAAAAGTTCTCTAATATTTCTCAATATTAATATCCTTTTCCAAAAATTTTTTCTCTAAAAATATATATAGAAAGATAGTTTATTGGCGCGCGCGCGATTTCTCATAGATCTTTGGCGGACTCTTATGTTTCTTCGATCTTTCGTGGATCCTTGGCAATCCTTATCAATTGCGAACTTTACTTTGGTCCTGGCAAGATCTAGTGGCTCGTCTTGTAACACAGATGCAAGCGCGTTGAAGCTCGAACCTTCGAGCTCTGGATTTTTTTGGTTCCAGAGTCTCCTAAACGCTTCGGCTCGTTTTAGCGATTATTCCTGGTTACGATCGTTTTTCGACCGATGCGATCAACTTCGGTTTTTTTTTAACTCTTACACGCAAGTTGGACGTGTTCCCCTCGACCTTCACCGTCTTCTTAATCGATACCTTCCTGATCAACAGCGACTTTTCGCTGTTTTTAGCGTGTTCTGTTCTTGTTGCGTTGCTTTCCCTGTCGGCGCGTCCTGTTTTTGTTGCTGCTGCACGCCGTCTTCTAGGAATTAATAAGACGTTATTACAACGATATTTAGTAACATTTTCTGATATGTAGTTTTTAACGTTTTATCAACATTATTATGAATAAGTTCGACACTTTAATATTTCTAAAATGTTTTTGCAATGTTCAAAGAGATCATATTATTCGATAATATCTTCAAATTTTTTTAAAATAATAAACGAAAATATTTAAGAGATACGCGTAATATCAATATTTCAAGATGTTGATCTATTGTTCTTTATTTACTAAATTTTTATTTGTAGCTATATAACTAATATAAACTTTGCAGAGAAAAAAAGACTTTTGTAAAGACTTTGGTGTCCCTTTAAGAGAAAAAAAAAGTAAACTGAATAATCGTTTTTTTTTGTTAAGAAAGAGGGAGGGAGAGAGAGAGAAAGAAAGAGAGAGAGAAGGATAGTATTTTTCTGTGTGTGTGTGCTCCGCTCCTGCAATTTCTTCAGTTCGGCGTTTTTCCTTGGCCAAGGCTGTAGGCTTTTCCTCCGTGTGCCAACCGCGCTTGCGTACAGTCCTGCACTAACTATACGTCGCACAATAACGTTGCTTGCAGAATGTTTTGAAAGCTCGTGCGGTAGGCTCGCGGTGACATCTGCTCGCGTGTTTTGTCGTATTTTGGCGTGCTTCTCTTCGCAAAAGAACCGAACGAACGGATAGGTAGACGAACGTCGGTGTGCTTGAATCGGTTCGAGGCCAGCAATCGATCGCCTGTCAACGCGCAGTGATATTCGCTTATAGTTCTACGTGAATTACGTTCGTTTTCTCTCTTTCTCTCATTCCGTCTTTTCCATTGATAAATATGACGAGTTTCGCGCGGCAGAACTACCATAAGGATTGTGAGGACGCGTTAAATGAACAAATTAATGAGGAGCTATACGCCAGTTATGTCTATCTGTCTATGGTCAGTCGGTGTATCGATTAGACATGCTTTTTTTAACCAGTCACCTCCATTCTATCAGTCCCGGGGTCGTAACCCTTTATGTGTACATCTGTGCACTTTCCCCTGTCAGTTGACGTTTCGTAACGCATATAACCCTTACCGTTTTTCTCCCAACCTCACATTCCTCGCGTCAGTGCGAATATGGCTTGTTTCGGAACTACGTTGTGCGTTTAGATTGAAGTAAACGAATTGTCTTGCGAAATCAACATGCAACGAAATGTGAATTTCGCAAAAGTTAGGCCTGATTGCACCAACATTATTTTGGTTTTAAGCGAAACTTAAACATATATCTATCTTTATCTTTCTTTCTATATAAATAAAGATAGACATATATTTAAGTGTCACTTAAAACTAAAATAACGTTGGTGCAACCGGACTTTAGTACTTCGCGATGGGCAGTCAAACAGAATAGAAAACGATCGATTCATAACCAAAAAATGTTTTTATTGTCATTTTATTGCGTTATTTGTTATCATGATTTTTTGTTTTGCCTGGGCACTCCTCCCCGTTCATCCAGTCCTGACCAAACGTTTGATAATATTAGCCCTGTTCTTTGTAGCTGTACTGCTGAACTAGTGCAATAAGTTAGAGTGAGAAAACGTATATTTGTCTCACTTCAATATATTGCACCAGTTCAGCAGTGCAGCTACAAAGAACAGGCCTATTTGCTACGACGAAATACTACCATCGATGAAACGATATCACTCATAGAAGGATTTCCCGAAATCGGAAATTCTGTACTTAGGTGCTGCAACAAAAATCGCAACTAGAATATTTCTAGAACGTGCGACGCGTTATTCTTTTTCCTTGATGCTTCTCGTTATTCTCTCTCTCTCTCTCTCTCTCTCTCTCTGTCTCTTTCGATCCATATGCGTCTCGTTGCAGGCGTACTACTTTGATAAAAGCGAGGTCGCTCTGCCAGGTCTCTCCGCGTACTTCAAGAAGGCGTCGGACGAAGAGCGCGAGCATGCCATGAAATTTCTGACTTATCAGAACAAGCGGGGCGGCATCATCATCCTGAAGCCGATTGAGGCACCACGGACAGACTGGGAGAGCGCGGAGAACGCGATGATAGAGGCTCTACAGCTGGAAAAGAATGTGAACAAGGTGCGTGCGCGGCGCCATTGCGCGCATAATCGATTCCGCTGCGAAGCACGATGATAACAAAAAAGTAAAATAAAAGTTGAAGAAAGGAGGAGACAAAATTATTCGCATTAATTTGTTCAAAATGAAATTCAACGTTTTAATTACACGACGTCATCCAAAACTCGGAATCAATCGTAATTTTTATTTTACCCGGGACTCTCATTTCTTCAATTAGCGCGTAGCATTCGCAAATTTCTGAGTTCGTGTTAAGTACTTAGAGGCTCTTTTCACATTATAGTGTTAACTGAATTATCATAACTGATATAATTTCTTTGTGTTCATTGAAACATGTTCACTGAGGTAGTACAACTTTAAGCTACATTCTATTAATCGGGGGTGTAACTCAGTGGTAGAGTGTCCGCTTCGCATGCGGAAAGTCCTGGGTTCAAATCCCAGCTCCTCCAGCAGAAATTTTTTTTTTCGGATATTGCGCATATTTATTACACGTATGCGTTTCTTGTAATATGTATTTAATTTTGCGTAATTCTACTAGTGTTACGCAAAGTAGATGTAAATTTATTCGGCGTCTACTTTTCATTTTTACAGAGTTTACTACATTTGCATCAAATCGCTACGACGCACGATGATCCTAACTTGATGGATTTCTTGGAAAATGAATTCCTGCAGGAACAAGTGGACTCGATAAAGGAGATCGCTGATCACGTGACGAATCTGAAGAGAGTAGGGGAGGGCCTTGGAGTTTATATGTTCGACAAGGAGCTAAGGAATCAGGACTAATCGAATAAACCTTGCCGGATCGACATTGGATTTTAGATAAATATCGCAGGATACTGTGTTATTTATATCGCATTATAAAGCGACGTACGCGATAAATAAGGAAAGAATATATGTAGGCACACATTGTTCTTTGTGAGATATATCGAGAATATCTCGGGGGAAATATGTAGCCAATTCAATTCAATACCAATTTCTCGTATCAAGTGGCTTCATCGTGCAATTAATAATATTTAGCAGCAAAATTTTTAAAAAGTATATGTATATTGTATTCATATAATATCTATACGAGTTATCGCGTAACTTGCACGTCGTTGTATAGTTTTAAATCGAATAATAACAACTGAAAATATTACATGGCATACTTCTTGCTCAACTCTGAATAATAGAACGAGAGAAACATCGTACTTTCAGAAATGTTATATCCTTTGTCATTTTTTATTTGTTTATTTAAGCGAAAATATATCTTTGATAAAACAGATAATAATACACGATAAATAATAATAGACGCAGTATAGAAAAAAGAAAAATTGTTCAATAATCATCTTACACGCAAAAAAATGACTTAGTAATATCAGCTAAACCGCGATAGTTGAGTCAGACTTAGTCAAAAGGTTAATCGTTTAACTATCACTGCTAAGAATTGGCTATGACAGCTAAAATGCATTCGCTATGAAACACAAATATATTAGGTGACATTAAAAATGCACATTATTTCAAATAGCTAAAAAAATGGCAGTTATTCCTAAATTTCTTATCGTATGCATATATTAAAGAAGTTTGCCGCACAGCTACAATCATTTGCTACAGTCATTTGTTTCTAGCAGTTAATATTTCTCGCTGTAGCGCCTAAGTTTAAACAGCGAATAAATTTAGCTTCGGTAGTATCAACATTAGCTGTCCTTATTTCAGTGACACATCTGTCACAGCTATTTTTTAGCTCTGGAAGCTAGTTCTTTTTTTGCGTCTAATCTCAGTAAGTATATATAAAGAAACATTGCAGTAATATTATTATGCCGTTATTTACAGGAAGAGACAGAGAGAGAGATAAGGAGAGACAAGGAGAGACATATCTCTTCTGTATTTTTTCTTCGTGACCTAACCAACGCGATGACAGCTATTTGCTTGATAATTTCCCAAATAGCACAGAGAATTCAAAAAGAATTCAGTCGTATGTCACCAATTCTGAGTTGATTTTCAGATGTAAAAAGAATTCTTCAGAGTTCAGTTCAGTTCAGTTCAGTGAAAAGAATTTTTGTACCTAAAAATGAACTCAGAATTGGTGACATACGACTGAATTCTTTTAGAATTCTCTGTGCTATCTAGGTTGACAGGCGTAAACGACACAAACCAAACCATAGCCCAGTGAGCTAAGCGAGAGAAAGGAGGAATGCGACACCAACATGGCCGCGACAATGTAATCTTCTTATCCCTTGAGTCTCTCGTCCATAATCACACCTTTCGCTCCGTCCATGTATTTTTACGTCCATGGATCGACTTGTTTAAATTTAAAAAAATCTGATATTTTTTGGGTTATACTGCATTTTGCAGTGAAAAATTTTTATAAATATTTATAAATATTTTGCAATATCTTTATTTCTGAAGATGGATGGAAATGCATCAATCAAAACAGAATATTTCCATCCAGCAAGCAATCTAAAGCCCATTCTACAATTGCGTAAGCGTAGTCGTGAACATAAGAGTCAACCAACCCGAATGTTTTATTCACTGATTGCTTTACTCTGATTGGTTGTCGTAATCACTTGCAACCACTTACATCCACGTTCACGCAATTGTAGAATGGGCTTAACATGAAAACAAGCACCGTGTGCCGCTGGCTTAACTCTAGTCAAACTGTATGCGAAGCGCTCTCTCTACAACCATGCACATGAACTAGATAGCAATGAACTACAATGTCTGATACTACAATGATTTCTTGGTTCTGTTCTATGCTAAATATGAATGACATAAGTTAAATTAAAGAAAAGCATAGACCGACCATGCCAGCGATTTAATTGTGATGCGTTAGTAGTCCATAGTTATATAAATACATCATACTGTCGTTAGCTCACCTTAACCGTTGCGATTGCTGCTCGGCGGTAGTGCAACGGACAGAGATTGATTGTCTGTCTTTATCCAACTAAAGCTGCGTTCGGAAACACATTGTGTGCACACTACTAGACGATAGTCGTTGGAGTGAGCGAAATACAAGAGTGAGATAAAAAGAGAGGGAGAGTACTCGAGTGATGTTCCGAACGTAGCCTTCCTTATTTCACTCGTGTACAGAACATAGAACAGAACCAAGAAATTGTATACATAGCACAGACCACAACCAAGAAATCATTGACAATGGCTGCGTTCAGCAGAGAAAGCTTTGCAACTGTTGTAAAATTCGTGAATCTGATTGGTACATGCTCTTGGATTCAACCAAAATTAAGGACATACTCCAATCAGATTCACGAATTTTACAACAGTTGCAAAGCAGCTTTCTCTGTTGAATGCAACCATTACTTGATATTACTTGTTACCTACTGAGAAGAATCGTGAACATTGGCTATGTAGTTTATGTCTATAAAAATTGGATATAGAGGTGTTTTAGTACTGCTCCAAAATATTGTCATAGTTAAGTCGCGGGTATGGCTATTCTCTCAGGTTTCTCTCTGACGTATATATCCTTTATCCACGGCATGATCGTCACGTTATAACCTTTGCGGTGCAATAGGAGTCTCTTCCTATCGTCAGCCAACGTCATCGAAATCGTGTGCGATTTAGCATGAGCGCGGCAATAAACATCGCCAGTCCGGAAATCAGTGTTGTACGATGAGACGTGGCCCTACATCGGTGACTTCGTAATTATCCTCGACATTACTCGTTATCGCGAATCGCTACAAGATGTATTTATCGCATTTCCTCGTGAGCACGCTGTTATGTGTGTTTTCGTTGGTTCACGGGGTTAGTATTTTGTCAGGTCGATTTAAAGTTCGGTGATTGCTATTCCTCGGTGATTCCCGATGATCGCCCACAATATGTGTACGTGTTCATCGCATTGCTATTCGTGAAAATTAAATTGAATTGCAGAGCGAGCTCGACTACGACGGCTGGTTACAGCTGAGGTTATGGCACGCGTTCAACGACGAGCCGATGGCCGTATTCACGGAGCGCGGCAACATTACTGTGTCCAGCGTGCGTAGCGGTGCGTCCGTTGTCGGTCAGAACGGTCTGTTGCCCGTCGAGATAAACGCGCTAAAAGCTCTCGCCAAAAACGACGGCAAGTACAGGTTGAAGGCATTGGCGCGTACCTCTTCCGGGAGCGAGATCACCTTCCTCACGGCGGTGCCAGCGGTAATACACAGTAGATAGATGAATAGATGAGGACCAAGAACAAAGTTCTTGGCCAAAGATAAAAAAGAAAGATTTCCAATAGTAGGCCCAAATACAACAATGTCATCTTAAAGTATTCCATTTTACTGTACAAAATTAGGTCAGGATAACTTTATTTTCGGTAAAAAAATTAGGTTTCTGTTTGCTGAAAAGGTTATCTAATATTCGCCTGAAAGATAACTTTTAATATCCAAAAAGATATCATTTAGATATAAAATTATCAAGTTTCTAAGTAGAACAACATTATCTTAAAATATTCCATTTTACTATATAAAATTAGGTCAGGATAACTTTATTTTCTATAAAAAAATTAGGTTTCTGTTTACTAAAAAGTTTCTGTTTATCTAATGTCCGCCTGAAAGATAACTTTTAATATCCAAAAAGATATCATTTAGATATAAAATTATCAAGTTTCTAAGTAGAACAACATTATCTTAAAATATTCCATTTTACTATATAAAATTAGGTCAGGATAACTTTATTTTCTATAAAAAAATTAGGTTTCTGTTTACTAAAAAGTTTCTGTTTATCTAATGTCCGCCTGAAAGATAACTTTTAATATCCAAAAAGATATCATTTAGATATAAAGGTATCAAGTTGGTACATGGATATAAATTAAATATATACCAAGTGATAGCTGTAAAATGCGTAAATGAACTTTATTTTCCAACCAACTATAAACTGTTATTTAATTGATGTCATATTAATGGAGACGAATTATTGACATTGACTTGTTATCTTATAGATACGTTTCAAAAGTTAATTTCAAAAACATTAACCAATAAGCAATCTGTTCTACTTGGGGGGTTACTAAAACTTGAAAACTGAAACATCTGGGCAAGCTTTCAAGAAAAGAAAAATGGGTAGTTAACTAAATAAACTATAAAAATAAGCAGTTAACAAAATAAACTAGATAATTAACTAAATAATAATATAGTTTGTAAAAATATATTTTTAGAGGATTATTAGTAAACTTATAATCATTATGATAACAGTAAACAAAAAGATATTACAGCAAGAATACAAGAATGTAATGTCAGATTTATAATTGTAATCATTATGATAGTGACAAATGGAGAAGTACACAACAAAAAAAGATATTTTAAATGTCCAGATTCTTAATTCGATTCTTAAGACATTTTTAATATTATCTGGACAGCTGAATATTGATTGTAAAATCTGTTTAGTTGAAATTTAGTCTGGCAACCCTACTCAATCTAATATAGTTGATTCAAGGATAATTTGCTTTGTTTAATAATATACAGAGTTAATAACTAGAGCAGAAAGATAGCCTAGCAATATTCTATGAATATTTCTATGAATATTTTTTATGAATATTTGTATATTCTATGAATCTTATAAAAAAATACTAAAAAAACACTTTTATGTTCATAGTGCACTCATAGTATATTTGAATGACACAACTATAAAAGTTCTGGTTATGTATAAAATGCACAGTAACAAAATATAGGTTAATTATTTATTTTACTTTTGCAGTTACAAATAATTAAAGTATTTTAATTGTAAGTATATTCATAGAATATCATATAGAGTTCAAATATTCTGGAACTAAAAACATTTGTATTTCATAAGAATATTCTTAGAATATTTTGTGCTATCTAAAAGTATATCTGCTAAAAGTTAAATTAAAAAATTTGAAACTTTTAACATAATGTGGTAATTTTAAATGAGTAAACTTTCAACTTAAACTAATTATGTTTTAAAATACTTTTTCCAGCATCTTACAGCTATTATTTGGTATATATTTAATTTATATCTATGTACCAACTTGATACCTTTATATCTAAATGATATTTTTTTGGATATTAAAAGTTATCTTTCGGATGGACATTAGATAACCTTTTCAGTAAACAGAAATCTAACTTTTTTTACCGAAAATAAAGTTATCCTGACCTAATTTTGTATAGTAAACTGGAATATTTTAAGATAATGTTGTTCTACTTGGAAACTTGATACCTTTATATCTAAATGATATCTTTTTGGATTAACTTTAAATTGTTAACTTTTTTATATAAGTTAAAATAATTTAAATGGTAAAATCACACACACACACACACATCGCGAGTTGCTAGTAATATAATAAAATAAAATAAAAAAATAGAAATAATTTCAATAGAATTTTTTTCATCTCTCTGAGCGTTAACATTCTTTTCTCGTATGAAATCTTGAGCACAAAACAAAATTAGTATTTTCTTACATAAAAGATTACCTTTTCATTATTTTATATAAATTTAATCTACGATTAAAAGGTTAAGAATGCAAAAGCAAATATATTGTTTGGTATATTTAACTTTTAACTTTAATAATATATGAATGACTTAATTTTAACTTTTAATTAGATTAGGTTTTGTTTATGTGTAACTTTTAACTTAATTAAGTTAATATTTTATAAGTCATTAATTTTGAACTTAATTTGGTTTAAACAACATTAACTTATCTAAGTAATATATTAAGTCTCATATGATATTCAGATATATATACTGATTACACTACTTAATCAATTTATAGTGCTACCTGCTTGGTTCCGATTTAGAAGACGTCATAACGATATGGTTGGATAGCGCGGCGGAGCCGGTAGCTGTGAGCATATCATCTTCGGGTCCTTGTATATTTGATAATCCTTTCACAAATATGTGGACGACTAATGTCATGGTCAGATATCCAGATGGTGGTCCAGTTCCAGATACAGCTACGTACATTCAGAAACTTGAACGAGAACGGGAAGCTAGAGAGAGAGGAGAGACCAAAGATAATCGTTCATTCTTTGCAAAATATGTAAGTGCCTTTCTATTGATGCAGTTGTTTTATTATATAGCACACATACATTTATAAAGTAATTACTGATTTAAATAAATCCCATTTAATTAACAACTATATAATAATATAACAACGTAATATAATAATTGATTGGTAATTACATTACCGAATATATAAATAAAATAATACTACAGAATATATAAATAAAATTATTGTATTTCCTTCTTTTTCTAGTGGATGTACATTGTGCCAGCATTGATCTTTTTACTTCTGACATCCGCAACGAATCCGGAAACTGCTACAGGGGCAAGTGCACAAAGACAATGATTTGCTAACAGAAATAATTTCATTGTACCTGCATGTGCATTGTGTCCTAGTGTTAAAGGGAGATCTTATGGAAGTTGTCCAAATTTATAGTATAATTTCATAATCAGATAGCGCGATATAATAATATAATTAATAATAATTATAAGTATTGCTATAATAATTACACTTCTGATAAAATAAACAAACTGAATAAATAGTTTAAGTAAATCATTTGAGTAATCGAATTTTTTTGACACGAACGCAGGCGTATCAATTTTTTGTATCGGTAAAAATTTAATCGCTTTACTATTTCTTTTGTATTTTAGAACTATTCTTTTTCACACACGCGCATTTACTGTATCGTTACTCTATGTACGATGAAATGACGATAGTATGTGTGTAACGTTATAGCTGTAGAAAATCAATATTCCATCACCGTGCCAATGGTAGAGGCACAACATTAGTGGAGGCGTACTGTGATAACCTAGTACACGCGCGGAATGGCAGAGTTTTCGTTGAACATACAAAAACACATAAAAACAAGTTTCGTTGTAAGTGGAAAATTCGATGGATCGCACGCGTGCCTCGCGGCCGCCACACCTGGCGGTACCATTTTGGTGCACAGTCCTCACAGACAACCGCAGATCAACTTTTCCGACGAGAAACAATCTAACAAGAGATTATCTTGGAGCGGAGAACTGGCGGAGCTTCAAATCGGTACCGAGGTCCGGATCTATCAGAACAGCAATTTCATAAATTATTCTGTGTAGCAAAAAAATGTGTACACAAATCGACATAATAGTCTTAACACATTATACTCTTCTGTAATGTACTTCTTATGGAAAGGTTTAAAATATAACTTGTGTTATATTATTCGGAGTTTTCACAAGTAATGAAATACTTCTAAAACATTCTCATTAATTTTCATTTTCTCTTTGTCTTGAGCTGTGTAACATAAATAGTATTTTTTTTTAGTATGTTATATTTGTGGGTAACATATTTAACTTATTATATAATTGATTAAAAATAAAAACTGTCGATATTTAAATGATTCATTTTGATATATTAGTTATTTATGGATACCTCTAAAAAAATATATATATGTGTATATACATGCATTTGTATTTATGTATATTGTATGTATTTACCTATTATATGCATTTATATGTGTGTGTGTGTGTGTGTGTGTATGCGTACGCGCGCATATATGTATATCTGTTAAAGCTATTATGCCGGTTTATATACGGTGAAAGCAGTTAGCATTGTTTGCAAATAGTCGATAATATTGACTTGCATTTTTCTTTTCACTTATTTTTCACGAGAAATCGTGTTTAGGTGAAGTCACTGTGCACTGGCCGTCTTGGGGAAGACGAGAGAGACATTCTTTTGGTCGGCACCATTACTCATGTACTCGCTTATCACATCGAAGACAATGCCGATGTTTTTTATAAAGAGGTATTGACTGTAGCTTGTGAGAATAAGCAGCAGTAAGCTCTCATAATTCCAATTACTTTAGATGTCAGACGGCGCTAATTGTATGATCGTCGCGAAAGTTGGTTGGTTACCGCACCAGGTTGTCGTGGTGGGTGGCAATTGTTCAGTGACGATTTTAGACGCGCAAGGCATGGAAATATTTTGGACGGTGATGGGGGGTATCGTCACTTCGTTAATAGTGTATGATTTTGATGGAGACGGAGAAAACGAGGTGAATATTATGCATACGCGTTATCACATGCGTGTTTCTCGCTTGGATATTTTGATTTTCTATCTATGAGCCGGTCGTTTGATCTCTCAGTTACTGACCGGTACAACAGATTATGAAATCAAAGTGCAAAAGGAGGATGTGATACTTTGGGAAGCTAAAGAAACAGCGGCAATTGTCGCCCTGACCGATTTACCACACAGACAATTTGCTTACGCGGTTGACAATGGTACTATTGGCGTCTATGAAGCGGGACAAAGATTGTGGCGAGTTAAGGTGAAATTTCAGTTACATTTGAATTGCGCATGTAAATTTTAACTCGACTATTCTACTAAATACTATCCGCAGGTTTAATTACCACGGAGTAGTTCTTTCCAGTATAATAATAAATTGTTAAAATAAATCGTTTAAGCAACACTATATATCTATTTTTTGTTTCTTTTTTCAACGTAAGCGTAAATTATATTAATTATATTTATCTTTTGTACCATAAACTTAGCCGCTTTATCACTTTTTTTCTATTTAATTTTTTAGTTTTTCGGATATTATATAAGTTGAAACAATTGGATTTTGAAAATCTGTTTTGCAGTCGAAACACAAAGTAGTGTCCGTAGGAACTTTTGATATAAATGGCGATGGCGTACCAGAACTAATCACCGGTTGGAGTACCGGGAAAGTGGACGCAAGGACATATAATACTGGCGAAGTTATATTTAAGATTCAATTGTCCTCTGGTGTAGCGGGTATAGTAGAAGCCGATTATCGAAGAACGGGCAAACCTGACTTGGTGATGGTTTCTGTTAATGGTGAAGGTACGAAATTAATAACAGTAATCTTAAAGATTGTTTTTACTATTACATAATATAATAATAATTACCATTCTAATTTACTCACGAGGTAACTAAAATTCCATTGAAAGATTTTATATTAATTTGTTACACATAGTTATATATAATAAGATAAATTAAACAGTAATATGAAAATAACAAAATCACAACTGTACAATGGTCAAATAAAAAATAAAATGAAAGTTAGATTTGGTTCCCGGGTTTGAGCCGCGTGGATTCATCTTTGTTTTATTCCGACGTTTTGCGAACATTTCAGTCCGCTTCATCAGAGAGGAACGACCCGATGCCCGAGGCATCTGTTCTGCAACTTCAGCGAGTCGTTCCTCCCTGATGAAGCGGATTGAAATGTTCGCGAAACGTCGGAATCAAACAAAGATGAATCCACGCGACTCAAACCCGGAAACCAAATCTAATGTGCATGGACATCGCGAAAACCTAAAAGATCAAAATGAAAATTATTTAAAATGCCGTAAATGCCGATTTTAACACATTATGAGACAGATAGAAACAGTTACTGACTTAAGAAACTATAAGAATTGAATGGGGCATATTGAGACACTGACTTAAGAAACTATAAGAATTGAATGGGGCATATTGAGACACAAATTTAAATGTGATAGAAATGATATATAATAGTTTTACCATAATTTATTAGTACGCCCCTTATAGAAATATCATACTAAGAATCATTGGTAATTACTTATTATCCAGTATTTTTAATATTGAAAATAAGTAATTATCAATGATTCTTAGTATGATATTTCTGTAAGGGGCGATAATCATATTATTATATTCGTAGTGACTATGATTCGTGCCATACATCGATATCGACTATCGACATCGATATCGCTCTCAATATCAATAGAGAGCTTTATGAACTTTATATTAGACAAAACAAGACAAATCCACTGGACAATAGTAAGATTCTCAGTAAGAGACAAAAGGCCTGTTCTTTGTAGTTGCACTGCTGAACTGGTGCAATATATTGAAGGGAAACAAATATACGTTTTCTCACTCTAACTTATTGCACTAGTTCAGTAGTGCAACTACAAAGAACAGGCCTAAAGAGTCGACCATGGATTTGTAATCCAAACGGACGTGTAATTCGATCCAAGCCGGAGATCTTTAGTTTGCATTTTTTGTCTTGTGTTCTTTAGTTCATTATTAAACGTTCCATAGTTTTAATTTGAGTTTTTCTTATTTCTTCGCGAGCGTGGATGTAAGTGTAACGATGTATTATAACTGCCAGTATTATGATCAAGTATTTGATTTGTGAGTGAGATATATATGTATATTGCAGTCAAAAACTATGTTACAAAATAATCAGAAATATATATTTCAGTCAACAGATAATTCTCTTCAGTAAAGACCTATAAAGAGTAACATCTATTCAACAAAACATCGATGTCTGTTTATTTATAACGTTTTTACTATAATATATCAATTGTGCATCAATAATTATGACAAAGATATTTGTCATTCTTCACTGCTTTCTAAATCTTTTAGAATAAAATCTCATTCAAAACAAGTGAAAATACTATCATTCAGAATCACAAGAATTACAAGCATATTATATTAATATTTAATTCCCATCAAGAATGGATTCTTAATCCATACGAATTAGTATCAATCGATTAGAGTGGATTTGTTTTAAAGATGGTGAAATATATCAGAAATATATGAAGTATATAAAATATATTACTCTTTAATTTCAATTAAATATATTTATTCGACGATTCAGAATAAAAGAATTCACTCTATATATATGAAAAGTTACTTGATTACACGCACGTGAGTGACTTTCCAGATAGTACAAATTACTAAAAAAAATAAGACGTCTTTTGGAAGTCTTTAAGATATCTTTTAATAAATTATACTTGTCTGGGTTGGCTGTTACTCTACTTTTCGAGTAAAATTTTACTCAAAGAAGCTTAGAAAGTATATATGAAACATTAATATACTTGCGATAATATCCTTGTCGCGTCATGTTTCAGTACGTGGATATAGTGCTGGTTCTGCCATGCAAGCTCCAGAACCTGGCGAAATAGTACGTGAATTATTGGCCAAGAAGCAAGCGCTCCAAATGGAATTGCGACAAAGAGCAGCGACAGGTTCCAATATGTACCACGGATCCAGATTGGCGATTAGCTTGCTAACGAAGAGAGGCGCGGCCCGCGTTGCTCTTGCTGCCGGACCTGGACTTTTGGTAATACATTATATTTATAGATGAAAGCATACAATAAAAGGTTTTACGAATACTTAATAATAACTTCATTCAGGTTCATTGTGCCATAGTGTTCGCCGAGGGTGTTTTCGAGGGTGAAACGCTGGTGACACATCCCAATCACCCACAAGGCGAACTGGAAATCGCGCTATATCCTGCTAAAAATGATCCTGTCGATATTCATATTAAAGTGTACGTCGGACCTCCTAACACTGATTTGTTGCAGGTATTCAATGATATCTTGTCTTAATTCTACAATAAATAATTGTCGCACTTTTAAAATTTCTGGTTCCTCGCCACGGCCATATTAATTTATGATGTCAGGAATGAGAAAATACATGCCTAAAATTTCTGCAAAATATGTTAAGACGAAAAAATATACCCAAAAAATGACATTTACAAACGATTAAGCAACGAAACGCTTTTAAAATACTCCGAACACTTTCTTCTCTCTTTCTCTTACTATACCAATTAAAAAATAATTATAAAATTAATAATCAATAAATAATCAATAATTAATAGTACAATTAACGTGACATGTGGTTTTTTTTAATTACATGATTTTACCACGTTAAATTTAGATTATAGCTTGCAGATTATTAGAATAAAAGAAAAATTTTAAGAGTATTTTAAATCTGCTGAATTTTTTACGTAGAATCAAATGGCGATATCAGATTTCACGAAAAATTATTTTGCAACTTAATTGTTTAAACAATTTTGTTATAAACAAATAATTTTTTCGACATTTTTATTGAGAAATTGTTCTTTTTACGATATTATAAGATTCCATATGTTATCTAGATAATATCTCTACTGGATTAGCTATGGGTTATAGTGAGTTAATATGTTCACGGCGGAGAAACAGGAGTTTTAAATCATTCCTGTTTCCATTACTTCATTGGTTCTTTATTTCCGTTGTTAAATTCTGTCGAACGTGTTTTAAATTTCTGATTACTCTATAACGTTCGACAGGTTTTCGAAATAACGCGGCAATTGCCGAGATTTTGTATGTACGAGCTTATTCCGAGGCCTCAACAGATCCCGGAAGAATTATTGAGTAACGGTGTTGTAGCTGATGTAAGTTGACATGTTTCGAGTTTGGACCTAGGACGATATTCGAAAAGGAGCTAATACGTTACGTTAATACTATAAATATGTGTGAATTTTAGGTTGCGGAGAGACCGCAACGTATTGCTATTTGGTTAAACCAGAGTCTCATTCTCGGCGAGGAACTAGAAGTCGCAGAGAGCGGCCTGAATGCTGGCTGCATTGAGATATGGTTGCGCGGCATGCGAGACAATAAAGTGCACTGTTTCAAGTCGAACGCCAGTGGAAAGGTGACCATCCAGACAGACGATTCGACATTCGCCGGTGATATCATTCAATCTCTCGCTATGTATCTGGGCGTCAGGGAACTGAGCTCGGAAGCGACGTTCCCGGCGGAAGAGAGTAGGATGCTGGACTCATTAGAACGCGTTAAGGGTATGTTTCAACAATATCAGTAACTCGGATATTTTTATATGAATAATATCTATAATATCTATAAGGATACTATCCAAGAATCTTAAATAAAAAGTATCTTGTGATGAAATTATTACACGTATTATGTAATATATTTATATGCAAATGTCGGGGGTTGTTTTCTTGATTCTGTCTATTTCTCATACGTAAAATATGATGCATTATATATAAAAATAGTCCTCACGATATGGCAAAATTTGCACCGTAGTGTCCACTTTTATAATGAAGTAGCACACTTTTTAATGATAATTATTTTTGTCAGTAACAATCGCTCCTACCAAAATATCATTTATGGTGATAAATAGATTAAAAAAAAATCAGAATTAAAAAAAGTTTCAAAAATATCTAAAAAACATCTAAAAAGTGTAGGACATCTTTTAGACGTTTTAAAGATATGTTTTAGAAGTTTGAGTTGATAACATTACTTCATGTTAAACTTTTAATGACGTAGTAGATAACTGTGACATAATATATACGTCACAGCCAGTTATCGTGTCATTGAAAGTTCAACACGGACGTATATTACTTGGCATAATAATCTTAACATTTACTAAGGTTAGTTACATAAAAATTTCTTAACCTTATGTAGTATTTCTGCATCTTTATGACTGTTGAATATATTCTGAGGAAGTAATAACATTAGAATAGTCAACAACCAGGATATATAAAAATATTACACATGGTTGAAAAATTCTTTTGTAGGCTATATACTAGGTTTAATAAATATTTAGACTATTATGTTGAGTAGTATACATACTTTTTTTAATTTAAAGAAACGAAGTTGACTTTCGTGATGTTCTTTTAGGTTTAAAAGAAGTTGATGCGCGACTTCAGGCAGAAGCTGCAGGCGGCGCAACTCTTCTCAAAAGTATCATAATTCGTTTAGAGGATGCTAGAATTCTCGAGAATGTCGATGACATGCGGAGGAGACTAACGCAGTTGAAGAACATAAATGGAGATTTGATTCGCGAACACGAGATTCGGCTGAACAGTTATCGGGAGCTCGCAACTAGTTTAAAAGAATTAAATATCGGTGTGCAGCGCGCAGCGAGACTTAGGGGTAGAATTTTCAAATACATGCACGCGAATATATTCGTTGAAATTATTAGGTTGATTCAAAAGACTTTTCTAAATACTGAATATGTGTCGATATTAGGAATATAAAGAATGTCTGAGCTGGACTTTATTAGATCAAAGTAATACTAGGCCACACATTTCCAACAAGACTAATATCCGCAGAGTGCAAAAATTAGTTTTTTAGGGCGAAAAAATTTTAGGTATTACAATAGCCTTCTAAATCTCAATCTTACCTCTATAACATTTTATTTCTTTGTATTTAATTTCTTTTGTTGGATTTTCTTAAAAAAGGGTTAAGGAACCATACATTAGAACATTTGACTAGTATACGGAGACCTTATCTAATTTGAGTAAATTCTTTAATTGTTACTACTTGACTTTTATTTTCTGACCAAGTTTTGGTGAGCTCTACTCTAAAGACATAGATGATTCAATTTAATATAATATAAACAAAACACTTTTGAAACATAAATATGTTAATAAATTAAATATGTATTTTATAGAGAAGAAGTTGAATCAATCTAATGATATTGTACGGTATATTCTCTAATATTGTTCTATATTTGTTCATATAGTCGGGAAAGCTGCTTCCAATACGGTGGCACGTTGCAGAGCGGCAATACAAGACGAAAATCCGAAGGCTCTAGGGCTTGCACTAAGACACGGATAATTCTTACTACATTCCATACTACATTATTTATCGTACATTTTTTCCTTCTTATCTATTATCTATTTTCTGTATTGGAAATTTAGTTTATGTAAAGCAATTTACTCAATTCAAACTGCAGTACGCTGCGACATCTTTATTGAAGGAAAATCGCACTGCAAATTAATTGAAAAATATAGGATAAAAAGAATACTTAATGATACATCTTGTTTATATCTGTATTATTGTATCAAGATTAAAAGATGTCCTAGAGACATATGCATATTTTATTTTTGTAAATACAGTTTTATTAAAGCTGTTAAAACATAATATTTTATATGGTATTTCCGTTATTTTTAATAGAACGAATTATTATGATAAAGTAATGTTACAAATTATATCTTTCAAAAGGAATGTAACGAATTATAGTAAAGTACCACGTGCGGAAATGCTGAACCTTCTTTTCGACGGAGGAGGAGACGACCGGCGATATGTGTTGATGGACCCGTCTGTGCAAGCCCTCGTTCTGAAAGACGTTGGCTGGTTTCCTGGAGTGGCAGGCAGTTCCGTCAATAGTCTTAATATGTTCGTAAATATGGCCATAATCTGTCGAATAGAAATAATCGGGAATATCTAATATGTCTGTTATATAAAGTTCATAAATTATCTGCCACGCGCGGCATATTAGAAAAAAGGAAAAATAATATTTTTTTCAGGCGACCGTCAGCATCATGTTTATTATCGCTCGCGTCATCGTATTTTTGCGTCTTTTCTTCCCCTATTTCGTATGTGCGCGACACATTGAGGAACGATTGATTTACTGTAAATGTTTGTATAGCCCCCTGATATTCAACGGATAAAAGATAAAAAGACAAAAAGTAATATTTGCAATCGATTAACTACTCCTCCAAAATACTTCGAACAATAGTAAAATTAATGCGATATGCAATTTTTCTTTTTAATTTACATTTCTTTATTATTTTGTCAAGTTTTAGGTTATTTATTAATTGTTAGAGTAAAAGGAAAATGTTCGGAGTATTTTGGAGGTGTGCTTAATCGATTGCAAGTATCACTTTTTGGATATATCTTTTTATTTTGACTTTAAGAATTTTGGGCATATATTTTCTCGTTTCTGGCGTTATAAGTCAAAATGGCTGCGGCGAGTATACAGAAGCCTTAAAGGCCAAATCACACTAGCGATTGGCGATTGATGATTGACAATTAAAGATTAGATTTTAACGAATCAACAGCCTTGACTTGCTTTGTTCCAATTGGTCAAGTTCCAATCTTCAATCGTCAATCATCTATCGCCAATCGTTAGTGTGATTTGGCCTTTAAGGGGATGCTGGAGTCGATGACGAACTCGAATAATATCGGTAATGCAGAGACGATCGTCACTAACATAATAACGCTATCCTTTTCGTATTTCTTGTATATACAGAACTTACATGAATATGTATTGCTTTGTTTTACTATATTCAACGGAAAACCTAACCATATATGTGTAGAAATTTTCCTGCAAACTTTTTCAATATTCTTAAGCTTCCAAGTGCAGGTGCGAAGGTAGAGCAATGTTCTCCAAAATTTTTTTGTTTGGAGCATCCACACTTTCGGTATGTACAAGCTGCGGAACTTTTGGATTAGGCAAATATTACGCTAACTGACAGCTTAAGATTTTACATTTAAAACTTTTTTTTCCGTTTTCGTCACATATCGAGCAATACTCCTATTTATTTTTGCACGTACTTTTATTGCGTAAAAGCACTTGTAATTTTGTGTAACCAGTACGACGTAAATTTTACAAAAAAAAGTCAGTGTTCTGTCGGTAAAGTTTTCAGCTTCAGCATCCTCTTAAAGGTATTTAAATCATGTAGAATATTTTTTAGATGTCTTTAAAATGTCTTTAAGATGTCATTTAGAAATTTATAATTTATGTGATATATGAATTTGCGCTTTAGTTATTTGCGAGAATTATTCTAGAGATTCGCTCCGACGCTCTGTGGAATTACCCGAGCACTGAGATACGTCGGTCCGTTCCTGATCATTATTACAATGCGTGGATAATCACTCGAAAATATACTCGTGTACCGCATGCCTTGAAAACGAGCGATATAGATTTTGTTTACGTCTCGCGATCACGCATAAATGCCATGACTGAGTTCTCCTGTGGAGTTAACAATCATTTAAAAAAATAATTCTCTCCACGATTAGAATCATTTGGATTAGGATAATTGGGGACTGAGTTTATATCTTTATTTATATTTTATCATCGCTTTTACTTATATTTATATCTCTGTTTATCATTCTGCTCATTTATAGTCAATCGATTTTTTAAAAACAACATTCAGATTATGACTATTTTTAAGTAATATCAAAACGACATGACATTATTATCGAAGTTCGATTATTATTTGGACCAATCGCGAACGCTCATTTTTTTCGTTTTATCCAGAATTTTTCATTTAATCCAGAATTTCGCATTTAATCATTAATAATTTTCTGTTTCCAATTAATTTAATTCCGCGCAAATAGACGTTGCATTACTAATTTCAAGTGTTCGGTATATTTTAATCAGCAGTGTAAGTAAGGAAAACAGAATTTAGAACTAAAGACGAACTTTACATAGAATCATTTTGAACAGAATCAATGGATAAAAATTAAAGAAGATCAAATTCAAAAATTCTAAAAGAAGCTGTGCTTATTATACTTGAGGAAATAACTCAAGAACTCAAACAAAATAGGTAAAAACTGTTCGTAATAATCAATCAAGTAATAATTAAATTTTATAATACGATAAAAATGTGTAGCAATAATGAAAATATTATCGATTACTTATTTTTTTCTTTTTAAAATGAACACTTTTATAAGAGTGCAACAGTATCGTATATTGTCTATTGTTTCGTTTCCTTCTATTTCCATATTTTCTTTGCAGATGATTACTTGCAGATTAATAACTGATGTTCAATATGTATTATATCAAGAGAATAATTTTCGTATATTAAATAAATAAATAAACAATAATCAAACAAACAAATGAACAAATAAATAAGTAAATTTCAATATAAATAAATAAGTATAATCAATATAGTATAAGTATAATCAATATAAATAAGTATATTCAATATAAGTATATAAGTAAATTTCAATATATCTGAAGGACTTTTCATAACACAATAGAACTTGAAATCAAATGGCTAAGTTTAACAATAAACACGCATTCAGAATAAGGTCTTCGTTGTATAAAAAAGAAAGACCGATGCAGAGACGAAGCCCGCAATTGGCACCTATTTAATCGATCTAGATACAGATAGTCCTTACCTGGTCAATCGATTCCCTTGCGGAAACCTCGTGGAAAGCGTGAGCCTCGATTTCTTTTGCCCTTTTCTGGCCTTCGAAGGCGGATACCATGCGCTCGCCGGGAGAGCCAGAGAGATCGGCCTTGTTTCCCACAAGCAGCACGACCGGCGGTACTTTCCTACCTCGTCTCGCGTGCGACACTAAAAACCTGGTCAACAATGACGGAGACGATTGATTTTTATACACGTTCAGCATGGACAAATGATAAACATCGTAAATCAATAGTTTATCTGTGGCATTATTTTCTCTCCTACAGTTCATAGGAAGAATACGCCTTTTGAAGCATGTTTGAACACTTTCGACTCGTATCTACCACTTCCATTGAGATGCGAACAGACCGAGACGCCAGATATCGATACGTCAGACGTCATTAGGGAAAAAAAATATTACTCTCGCCGTCGTGAGGTGGTTGACCCGTCAATTTCATGATTTCGGAGACACGTGTAAGTCAACAACATACCTCAATCGAGAAGTTTCCTCGAAGCTAACTCGATCCGTTACGGAGTAAACAAGAACTATCGCGTCGGCCCATCGCAATTTTGATTCTGCGGACGCCGACGGGTATCCCGGAGGATCCGCTATTTCCCATGAGCATCCAAGCTGATTATCCACTCGGTAGATTCTGTCCGTGCTGCAATCGTACTCGCCTATGAAGCGCCTCGTAGCGAACCGTACGGCTAAAGCTGACCATGAGATTAAAGATAAGAAGAGTGACGTTTAGAATTCATCGGTAATTTTTTCGTAACATCGATAATTTTTTCATTTTCTGACGTTAGGTTACTTCGAGTAGGAATTAGGATTATTCGAGCTCGTTAAAAACCGCCGTGTTAAACGATTGAATTTTAACTCATAAATTTTTCTGTTTAGCTGGATATCATTCGAGTAAAATTCGAAAAAAAATATTTAGAACAGATGATAGTTAAAGAGAATTAACATGTTTAGAACAATGTATTATAGAGCTATTTTATCCTGGGAAGGAGAAGGGGCGGGGAAGTTGAAGATATCGCGACAAAAAGATCGCTAAATTGTAAAACATAAGTTATCATTTATGTCCAAGCCATATTAAAAAATACTCGTTTCTTAGGAATAACTAAATTCTGCGCGTCTTTATAAAAAAAACTTAGTGGAGAGAACTCACTACGTGTGAGGCACTATGAAAGTCTTTTATGTTGTTGAATACCAAGCAGTTCAAGTCGCGCATGAATACAAATGGCTTTGTTTCCACTCAATATATGCCAAAAATATAAGTTTCAACTTGCCAATTTTTTATATTCAACCACCTTCTTTTGATCTTCTAAATTTGTATCAACGACATTTTTATAATATTTTTAATTCTACATGGAAATAAAAACATTTTATTTTAGAAATAAATAAATTTTAGAAATAATTCTTTTATTTTTTAAGCACATTTTCTCATCCTTTTAAATTGACGACCTTTATTCTTATAAATAATTAGTATATTTTGTAAAAGATATCGCATTACATTACATACAATTTCTTGCTTTGATATCAATACTTGCTTTGATGTCTATACTAGAAAAGACTAAAAGAATTTTTTTATCGTTTTTTTTTCTTAAATTATAAATTTTTAAATTATAAATGATTTTAACCTATTTCTGTTAAAAAATTATACAAAAACAAAATATTTAGAAATTTATTTTTACAAAACAGCTATATGATTATCTAGAAAGATAAAAGAAGTTTTTTAAGAATTTTTCAAAGCAGGGAGCAAAATTTAGAAAGACACAAATGATCTTGGTAACCACTTCGAAAATATCGAATAAAAAATCATGGCCGTGATTTGAGCGCCTAGTTTGAGCGCAACTGCAACCGCAAAGACTGAGCGGCCGTGATATATCTATCTTATTACGCGAAGGAACTACCCAGATAACATAAAATTTTGAGAAAATGTTCCTGAACGTCCTTAGGATGTATGAATGTTCCTAGAACGTCTTTAGAACGTCCTTTGAAAATTTGTGCTGTATGGGTAGTTGGACGAAGAAGGAATTCAGCGTTTCGTTATTATGACTGAACCGATGTAGTTCTGAGTAGTCTCAATCAATTCCTTGTGTTAACATTTCTTAACAAAACTGTCTTTACTTTTGCTCTACAGGTTCTATGAGATGAGAAATTCTAGTTGAAAGTCCAAAATCGCCAGATTTCACGATGAATACGATGGCTCTAAAAATATGCTCTTTCAATATTCTTCCGCTAGATGGCAGCACGGCAGAGATGATTTTGATATCGTCGTGAGCGCCAATTTGTGTGAGAAAGAGAGGAGAGGGAGAGAGAGAGGGGAAAGGGAGAAAGAGAGACAGAAAGAAACTTGTTTATACCCAGCAACATGTCTAAAATCAAGACATAAGACGTCTTAAAGATAATCTTTAAGACGCCTTAAAGACATTTATACGTAAATCGTCTGAAGATATCTAAAAGATGATCTTTAAGATCTTATGTCCCGATTTTAGACATATTATCTGGGTATTGACACGAAAGGTTATGTTTGTTCGATGCTGTCGTCAGCGTTGATGATAATCAATTTTCTCTTTCCTGTGCGAGGATTACAATCCAGTCTACAGTGGTGAATACGTAGTATAAACGAAACGAATCGAGGAAACGACGAAGTTTTCGTAAGTATAGAAAAAATTATATAATATTTGGTTTTAGTACAGTAAAATAACACTTCGATGAAACAAGCGCAAAATGTTAATTCCTATTTTACTTTGTAAAAAAATATTATTGGCAGTGATAAATTATGATCAATCAGTAATTTATCAATAACCAATTTACTTATCACAGTCAGCGATAATATATTTTTCTTTAAAAATTAACATTACTGTAAAGTTTATAAAAATTTCAAATATTTCATTAAAGTGTATTCCGTCATTATTTTTAATATATAAGTACATGTTATAATTACATAAATTTATACAGCTGAGAAAAACAATTAAAAGAGCTCGAAAAATTAAAAGAAACAGCAGCGAAACCATTATTACTATCACTACAACCACTATCACTGCCACAAGCACAACCACACCCACAACCACAACTACAACCATGACTACAATCACTAGTACAACCATTACTTTATATTTCATTGCTACTTCTTTTAATTTTTGGAGCTCCACTTGGAGCTCCCTTATTTGTTTTTTTAGCTGTATAACTTCTACCTCATGGTTCAACATATCAGTTTCAAGCTGTAAAAAATATATGTTAATTATTAAACATTGAATATGAATATTGTATCTACATTTGTGCAGTTGTGAACAATAAGGTTGTCTATTAGTGTTTATTAATAAGTTTCAGAACATTGCCAAATGGCCCAATGAGAGCACTTATCTTTCCAAAACTAATTCTCTTATTAAGTCGGTCAATGACATTTCGAATTGCTGGACAATCTTATTGTCCATGACTGCACATACTTAGCAGACTTCATGATAATAGTAAAATATCAACTTTGATGAAACAAACACAGTATGTTAACTCTTATCTTGTAGAAAAATATTACTGGCAGTAATAAATTATTATCAATTAGTAATTTATTAATAGTCAATTTATTTATCACAGTCAGAAATCATATTTTCCTATTAAAGGTGAACATTACTACAAACATTATAAGAATTTCAAATATTTCATTAAAGTATATACCGTCAGTGTATGCTGACATTATTTTTAATATTTATAAATTCATGTAATTATAATATGCATTTATGTATTAAAAATAATGACAGTATACACTTTAATGAAATATTAGAAATTTTTATAACCTTTACAGTAATGTTAATCTTTATAGAAAAATATGATGATTATTGACTGTGATCAATAAATTGACTATTGATAAATTATTGATTAACAATAATTTATTACTGCCAGTAGTATTTTTCTACAAGATTAGAGTTAACATACTATGTTCGTTTCATCGAAGTGTATACTATTATTACTAAAATATTATATAATTTTTTCTATATTTACGAAAGTTTCGTCGTCTTCTTTATTCATTTCGCTCACAAAAGATATCTCCAAACCGACGCAGCAACTGTTTCGTGCGTATAGATGTTTTATAATTCTATTTGTACAATTTTTTCAGCAACGAGAATCCACTCTAAAAATTATATTAAATAATGTATTGTTCTGTGATAATATCACAATGAAGAAGACCATTTCATATTCCAATGAATAAATAACGGGGATGAAGGTGGGATTTCTTCTTTGCTAAATATTATGATCAACAAATTGTTCTGTTTATTTATTTTCATACTTTTTGTAATAACTGATTAGTATATTGAACCTTAATCTACATTAGGCAAAGTCTAAATAAGAATTGAAGAAAAAAATAATATATTTAAAAAAAATGGCTTTAAAAAATAGTTTATGCTACAAACTATAATGAAAATTTAAAGAAATGCTAAGAATATTTGTATAATTTTTTTGTATACAATTATATCAGTAAAGAGGACCATTATATCAATAACAGTGGTGGGACCTCTTCTATGATAAATATAGTAATTAATAAATTGCTTTTCTTAGTAATATTCATATTTTTTTGTAATAACTGACATACATTTTATTTCAATTTGCATTAAATTGGACACATTCTAAAGAAGAATAGAAAAAATATATATATTTTAAATATAAATAAAAATTAAAAAATAAATAATCGTATTAGAATAAAAAAAGAAAATTATTTTATCAATGTACTGTAAGATTATATCCAATATAGCTCTTATACAAAAATAGATATTCTTAAATTCTTTAGAAAATGCTTTAAAATCTTTAAATTCTTTAAATTTTTTAAATTCTTTAAATTCTTTAAAAAATAGATATTCTTAAAAAACTTACCTTTTAAAAAAAGGTAAAAAAAGCGTCTAGTTTCCGCGCTTCGTAAAAAAAAAGAAAATTGTAATATAAAATAATCTGTACAATTATGTTAAAAAATTATTCCTACAATAAACTGTATTCTTCTACTACAAAATTAATGATATCATAAAATTTACGCCAAGTGACTGAGTAATTATAATATCATTTTTCTAATTACTTTATTTGTTATTAGACTTTGTATATGTACCTATTTTTTTATATGTTACATCATTCTGTGTTAGGTATATGTTTAAACGAGTTTGTTACCATTATTCGTGATCCATTAGTAAATGTAATTTGTCCCTATTATTTATTATAACAGCGTTACTTCCTAAATCCCAAACTTGTATTTGAAATGACCAAGTACACTAATTATAAAAGAGAAAAGTAAAATTATTCAGATTCACAAAAAAAACTTGGCGCGCCCGGGTTGAAATAATAATTTCAATGTTACCTATAAGTATTCTATAATCTTACTGAGAAATGAAATATGTTTTAGAATTCTTTGATGAATACACACACACACACGCACACACACACACACACACACACACACACATCTTGATATCATCCAGGCGTGCCAAATTTTTTTTTTGTGAATTTGAATAATTTTATTTTTCTCTTTTATAATTCGTGTACTTGGTCATTTCAAATACAAGCTTGGATTTGGAATATGATACAGATATATTAGTATTCGAAAGGTTAAAGTATCAGCGATATAAACTTCGAGGCATATTGAAACGAAAATATTAACACAAAGTGGACGACCTAACGGTTAGATTTTTTATAAGAATGGCCTAATCAACAAGACATTTTTATAAAAATAATTGATTTGAACAATAACTTTTAAATTTGATAACTTTTAAACTGTAGTAATGCGAAATTGTACGGATTAACACAACTTTGTTAAAACATAGTTACATATATATAAACTCATACAAATAAACCAAGTTAAATTTTCTTGAAAGATGCTACTGGCAAGAATTTTGCAAATGCATCACAATTCCAATTACTATTGATGTTACTAGAAAAAACGGATATCAATAACAAAATCACGGTGAAAGCATCAGTTTTCATATAATCACTGAAATCAAATAACGTTGAATATGCTCAGTGATTTAGATGATAACCGCTTGGAAACATCATGCAATATTGGTATCAATTTTACTCTTTTTTTAAATAATTTTCCAAGTATTGTTTACTACTGTTCTACGTTTATTTAGGACAAAAAGTTCTTAACAATTTCATAAATCCACTATATTGTTCAAATAACTAGTTTGGTGATTAAAAACTAATGACAGGAAACATCAATTTCTCTCCCCCCATTTTTTTTTGCTACAAAATTTTTTGTTGTCTTTCTGCAACTATATTATTATTTAACTTACATAAGCAATAAAAATTTTGTAATTGTAAGTTTCAAGTAGGTTTCAAGAAGATTTAAGAAAGTAAACAAGTGTCAACGGTCATACCACGTTGAAAGCACTAGTTCTCGCCTGAGCCTGTTCAGATTTATTTAAACTTTTGTTATTGAAAAGTTCTGTTTATTAAGCTTATTGTATACTCTTAATTGTATATTTTTGTCCTAAATAAACGTTAAAAAAAAAACACCAGTTCTCTGATCACTGAAGTCAAGCAACGTTGGGCAACGGTGTGTGAATTCAATTATACAAAATATATAAGCAATAAAAGAATTTATGATACGGCCGATATTCCTAGAATCGATAATTTTATAATCAAACTAATTAGAGACCAATGTAGCTGATATAAAACAAAATAATTTAATATTTGGCGCGTTATACCCTAACAATAGATATTTTGAAAAATATATAACTACAGGGTTCGTCCCTCCTGAAGCTTTTTTATTTCTTGACGCTAAGGGCTCTATTCAAAACAGTAATAATATACCTATTATTTATCATATTGTCCGTCATAACAATAATAAGAAGTTAATCTATGCCTCTAATCCTGAAAACAGCGATACTAAATATAGATAGAAATATAACATGTCTATCCTTAATAGATATTATTGATAAATATAGATGATATTGATGATACAGGGAAAATAAAGACAAATATTGGTGGTTGGGTTAAATCCTTATTTGTTTAATTTATTTATAATTTGTTTTATAATTTAATTGTTTTTTTTATATTTGTGACTAGTTATTTTTATTATACTGTGTATTATAATATTTTTTTTACTTTTGACTTATAATATATAAAATCTTATATATAATGATAGCATAGCCAGTTTTTCTTTGACCTTCTTTTTGTCAATACATATTCATTTGGTTAAATATTACTTGGCTGTTTTTACAGCATGTTAATTTTGTTATTAATTACTGCTTCTTTTTTCTTATTATAAACTGTATATTATAGACCGTATCTGGAGATGCCTTGTATGAGCCTGTTCAGATCTATTTAAACCTTTGTTATTGAAAAGTTTTGTTTATTAAACTCATTGTATACTCTTAATTATACAATCTGGTAAATAAACGTTCTAAATCTAAATAAACGTTTAAAAAAAAAACCAATTCTCGTCTGATCACTGAAGTCAAGCAACGTTGGGTACGGTCAATACTTAGATGAGTGACCGCTTGGGAACATTGTGTACTGTTGGCATAATTTTCAAAAACTAATAATGGAACGCAACAATTTATCCCTCCTCTTTGTTTCTTACTTTCAAAACTTCTCGTCGTTTTTTTTTTTTTGTTCTATTATGTTATTATCTAGTTTAGCAACAAAAATTGCGTAGATGTGTGTCAAATAAGTTTCC